GGGGGGCGGCGCGACAAATGCGGGCCTCACATCTGGGGCCTAATTGCGCGGATAGTAGGCCAAAATGAGGACCTCAGGGGAAGGGACTCATGTCATGCCTCCAGGCCGGTCCGGGGGGGCTGGGACGCGGGGGGCTGGGGGCTGGGGCCGGGCGCGGGCGAAGGGGCCGCCTGCTAGACCCGATATGCCCGGCGGCGCGGGGGGGGGGGAGGCACAGCGGGCCGGGCGGGACATGCCTGTGGACATGCCTGCGCAGGTAAACCCGCGCGTCGGTGCCGGTGCAAGCCTGGATGTCTGTATGTGTGTACGTGGGCGCGGGCATCGGTGTGCATGGGGAACATCCGCACGGAGCCGGGGCGCTCCCGTGCGCCGGGCTGGCGGTGGCCGGTGCCGGCGGCACAGCCCGCCCCGGGGCGAGGATCCCCCGAGGCTCCCCTGGCCCTGGCCGCCCCCCCCCCCCCGGGGAGCGGGGCGGACGCGTTCCTTTTGGTGATGGGTAGAAAAAACATCCGGTGTTCGCGCGGCATAGGGGCTGGCCGGTGCTGGCACGCGCGTCCCCCCCCCCCCGCCCCCCGGACGCGAGGCCCGGGCTCAGGGCTCAGGGCTCCGCAAGGGGACGGTGCGCGGCCTCCGTGGCAATTTGTCCACAGACCGGTGCGCCCTGGCGGATCCGGGGGGATGTTGTCCGCGCCGGGCGCCCCGCGGGGCGGCACGGGCGGCGCCCGACCGCGGCGAGGAGGGGCCACCGCGTGCCCCGGCCGGCGGCGGCGCTTGTTTTCGACCCGGCCCCGCCAGCCGGGGCGTGGGGGCCGGACGGATGGCGCGTTGGGGGCACGCGTGCCTCGCGTTTGCCGGGCACCCGGCGGCGATCGGGCGCACGAGCGAGCACACGCGCGCGCGCGCGCGCGCGCGGGTGAGACCGTGCAGAGCGCCGAGTTCCTCCCCCGCCCCGGCTCCCCCCCCCCGGGGGGGGGGGGGCGCGCGCGACCGACGCGCCAGGGGGGCGGTTCGGGGAACACGCGGCCCCCCGGGCCGAAGCGCTTCGAGGGCTGATCGAGCGTGGCCGGCGGGATGGCACCCGCGAGTCTCGCGGCGCACATCTTCCTCGGCCGCCCGGGCGGCGGGGCGGGGGAGGGGGCGCGCGACTGCCGGGCGCGCGAACGCAAGTGTGACAGGCTCGCGCGATCAACTCCCCCTTCCGCGGCGCAGGGGCCGCGGCCCCCGTGCTCTTCGGAAAAGGGCCGCGCCGATATATTGCGCGAAATATCCAAAGGCCGATATGTCTCTCTGTGCGCGTGTGCGCGTGTGTGTGGGCGTTTCCATTTCTGCGCTGGGTCCCCGCCTCGCCGCCAGCCTGACGTTCGTGGGGGCCCCTCCGGGGTCCTTTCTTCCGGGCCCGTGTCCCGGCCGGGCGAGGCCAGAAAAGCTGTGCCGCCGCCGGGGACACGTGTGCCCCTCCCCTGCGAGGCCAGGCGCGTTGGATGAAAGGACCGGTAGCTGGCCGGGGCACGCGCCCGGCGGTGCCCTCTGTGCCGGGCATTCCTCTGGTCGCCGGTTGTGTCGGCTGCTAGCGCAGGGGGGGGGGGGGGGACGAGAGGGGGGGAATGTCGCCTCTGCCCGCGCCGCCCGGACGCCGGAGCCCGGCGCGGCATATGGTGGTCGGGATGGCTTCCCGGCTCCGGCTAGCGGGAGGGGCGTGTTTGCTCGGAGCCCGGCGCCCGATTCAGCCGCCGGCCTAATTAGGCGCCCGGGGGCCTGACAGAATGCCCCCCCCCCCCGCACAGCCGGGCTCGGTGGGCCTCCCCCCCCCCCCTGGCCCGGGCGGCCGGGGGGCGGGGCCACGCATCCGGCGACACCCTCTCGCGCGGTCTCGCGGCCGCGGGCGCGCCGGCCGCTCGGCCCCCGGCGCTATGACACCCACGTCACCGGGACGCACCGGTGCCGACCATGCCTCGCGCCTCGCGACAGGTTCCCCCCCCCCCCATCCAAGCCCCCCCGGCGCGTGCGCACAAAATGCGTCTTGGCGTGCGCGGCGGCGCATTTCGGCTGGCGCGCCCTTGCGGCGCGGTTCCCCCACCCGTTGCCGGCCCCCGCCCCCCCGGGCCCCGGGCCGCACGCATAGCACCCCCCCTCCGCGTCCCCGGGGTCGCTCGCGGCACAGGGCAAAGGTCTGGCCGCGTCGCCTCTCCACGCGCGAGGGGCTATGGCGAAGGGCAATATCCCGGGCGCATGCACGCCTGACCGGCGGCCGCCGGAAAGGGGCGCGGCTCCCGGGCGCCAGGTCGCCGACGCCCGGAGGGACATTGGCCGGGCGCGTGCTCGCATGCCGGCGCCGGTCGGCCGGGTCGGTCGGCCCGGGGCCGGTGGCAGGCCGCCCGGCCGCCCGGCCGCCCGGGGGCCCTTTCCCCGAAGAATGCCGCCGCTGTCGCCCCGGCGGCGGCCCCCATGGTGCGAGGCATGCGGGAACGCCGGCCGGCGCGCCGGCATGCCGGCGCGCCGGTGTCCCTGGTCGGTCTCCTCCCGCTCGGGCGCGGCCCGGAGCCGCGGCCCAGGGGTCGCTGGTGCATCGTCCGCGCCGGGCGCGCCCGGCGGGGGGGGGGGCCTCGCCGCCGCGCGCACCTACAGCCCCTTGTTTACGCGCGCCCGGCTCGCCGCCGGCGCGGCCGCGCGCAGCCGACGGCCGCTGCCCTCGCAGTCTAGGCCCCCCGCCGCGGCCGGTCCGGCGCACCTGGCCAGAGAAAGGGACGAGCCCACGGACCGGCGCCCAGCCCCCCCCCCCCCCCCCCCCCCCCCCCCCCCGCCCCCCCCCCCCCCCCCCCCCCCCCCGCCCCCCCCGCCCGCCCCCCCCCCCCCCCCCCCCCCCCCCCCCCCCCCCCCCCCGGGAGCGGGAAAACCCCCTTTCTCCCCCCCCCCCCGTTTTTCCCCCCCCCCCGGCCCGGCGCGACCTCTTCCCTGGATTGGATGGGTTTGCCCTGTTAAGGCCCGCTAATTCTCCCCTTTAGTGGGTCCTTGTCCCCGCCTTCACGTCTAAGGGGCCTCATGGGGGTCCTTCCTCCCTCCCCTTTCCCCCTCGCCTGCCTTTGCCTTTTCCCTTTCAAAACCCCTCCCCCCTCCCCCCCCCCCCCGGCCCCCGGGCCCCCCCCCGCCCCCTTGTGCCCCGCGGGGGGGCCCTTGCCTCCCCCCCCCCCCCTCCGGCCCCCCCCCCCCCCCCCCCCCCCCCCCCCCCCCCCCCACCGATGCACCCGAATGGGACAAACGGGCAAACGCACATCCTCCCGGGGGGGGGGGGGCGCCCTCTCGCCACCGCCGCAGGTCGGGCGGCGGGCCCGCTTCGTACGCTGGCGCCCTGGCGGGGGCGGGGGGGGCGGGGGCGGGGTCGCGTACGCGCGCGTCAGAAAGCACGCCCGCGCGACACGCGCCTCCTTCTCGCCTCTGATCGTCCCCGCTGAGTCATAGCTCCTGGCGTACTGGGCCCCCGGCAATTACCCCCCGGCACGGCGCTCATTTGCTCCCCTGGCCACAGACACCGGCGCCGAGATTGCACGTCCCCCTTGGACCGGGCGCAAGCGAGGGCCCGATGTTCGCCCCGGCCCGGGGCCATCCCCCGCCCGGAGGCCCCGGGTCACGCCGCGCCCCCGGGCTCACATGGTCATGTGCGTGATACCCGGGACATGCGCCCGCGATGGGTCCCCCCCGCACGCACCCACGTCGCGCTGTGCCCGCCAAAAGCCCGCCCCCCTGTTGCGTGCGTTTCTGCCGGCACGGAGCCAGCAGCCCCCGATCGGTCACGTCTTCCTGCTTTTCCCGCCCCCCCCCCCCCCCCCCCCCTGAACTCCAGTCACCGTGTTGAAGCCGTGGGCCGGGGGGGGGGGGAC